TTAATTTCCTACCACTTTGTTTGTAACTCTGTATTGTCTGTACTGTTCTTTTGGTATTTTGTAAAAGGTTGTCTGTCTGTTAATGTTGTCCTCCTTTTATTTTTAAAATTAAACAAAAAAGATCATGATGACCTAGTAATAGTACTTTACAATGTAAAATCCCTAACTTCCCTCTGAACATTGTTGTGCAGGTTAGCATTGTTTTTTTCTTAAAGGTTTCATAAAATCACTGGTCTGGCCTCTTCACCTGGAAAAAGTGCAATTCTAGGCTTTTTCCATAGCTTGTGCTGACACAGGTGGCAAGGAGGTTGGTAGTCTTCTGTGGCATTTCCCTGCAGTAGGGAGGTTCTTGTCCATCCTTACTTTCTATCTTGCCTGCACTTTTCATGGTGCTAGTGCAAGAGAGAAAAAACTTTTGCTGGGGAACTTGGTGCCTGCATTTCCATGTTCCTATCTTATTCATTACCACACTGTGGAGATGAATCATAGAAGGTAAACCCAGGGAACTGGCATTGTGCCTGTCATTTGTCAGGTCCCAGGATTCACAATTGGTCTGCTTTTTATTTTCCTCCATCCAGAAATATATAAAAATATATCGCTTTAATTGTAATTATTGGCAAGACAAGGGAAAATATGGTCAGTACCCTTCCAAGAAATGGAAACTTCTGCTAAAATTTATTGTATTTTAGAGGCAGAAGAGAACTATTATGATAACAAGACATCAAACTTTGAGAACTTTCACTATTTCACAACCTAACCTTGTGTGTGACACTTCCTTGCCTGGAACAAATGTAATTACAATGAGGAGTAGGATGATGATGATCTTAATTCTATCAATTACTCTATCTTCAGTATTAATTATACCTTTGTCATTGTGCTGCTGCCGTTTAATAATGAAAACAAGGGAGTTACTTTTACTCTTTAAAGATAAGGAAATTTATGTTTAAAGTTACAGATCTTGCTCTAGGTCTCTCAACGAATAAATAGCAGAACAGGAATTTAAACCAATGGAGAAAGTTTTCCTAGCATGCTCTCATATAAAATCAGATAACTACATATTCACACTGCTTGTGAGAGCCCAAATCTGGGGACAAACAGACTCAGAAAGCAATTTATTGTGAAACAATACAATTGACAAGAGGAGTTGAAAGAAAAAAGAGCTCATTTTCACTACAAAACATCATTATCTGGGAAGCTGAGTGAAATTTCAAGCAGTTGGACAATGAACTTAGTTGTGAATTTCACCAAAAATAGAGATGCATTTGACAGCTCTCCATGACAGACTTTCACTTAAACTCATGACTCATTATTAAAATTTGTGAGGATCTGCTGTTCTTGTACCTCAGTCATATGACATCTAAAATTTATTTACCTCTGAGCAGGACTCTCCACAGGCAAGGTGATGGCTTCATTTTGTTGGCACGAGTGTGTCTGCTACAGAAGTGGCTATAGGTGTCTAGGGAACAGAGGGTCATTCCTGAGTGCCTTGGACATGAGTGTGAGACTAAAGAGTTTGGAGATAGGATGGGAGCGGGACAGTAATATAAGGACACAGAGGATGTCTGCAATGGTTGTTGGCACTGCTCCTACTGTTCCTGAAAGATCCTTCCTGTGTTTCAGGAAATCAGGGAACAAACTGCCATTGAAAACTTTGATAGGAGAAACTTTTCTGCACTCTGAGAAAGTCAAAGCCCTTCTAACAAGCAGGCCCATCATCCATTCAAGCTCCAGGAAATTTTTGCCATCTCAAAAAGCTGTTATTAGGAGCTACATGGCTTTCCTTGCTTCCTCTGCAGTCTTGTATCAATTTGATCAAAATTGGCAAGACTCTTCCTTCCTCATGTTTACCATGTGAATTCCATGCTTGCTCAGGAGCAGTAAATGCTGATGCTTACACAGGACATCCCCAGAGAGATGTACTCAATTTATGCCATTAGGGTCACTACATACAAACCTTTGCTCAATTTGTGACCTCTCAGGAAGCCATCGAGAATCTAAGAAATGCTTTCTTCGGGAAGGTGCTGTGTATTACTTGAGAGAACCACTGAAACTCACTTCTGTCCTCACAGGGCTCATAATCTACTACACAAGTATTTGCAATTCAGTGGTGGATCATGTTCCACGCTTCGAAAAGCTGAAGAGCGTTTCTCCTTCTCATTCTGTTCTCTTTCCCTTCTTGGTCCCTTCTCACCACAAGGAAGCATTTCTACAGCCCTCAAACTGGCAGGCCCAGCATTGAGAAAACAGGCTGCACAAAGGCAGGGACTTTGCAAATCAAAATAAACAATCAGAACTCCAATATCTTACAAGTACAGGGTCTGAACTCTCCAGAAAGTCACATCAGAGTGGAAGAGGAGTGAGAAGAGTTTGCAACTTTGTGGGTGGTCAGAGTACGGAGACGGTGCACGTACTGAGCTGCAGACCGCACGATTTGTTTTTCCTTCATTTTCTCCACTGTTCTCTGTGCTAACTACACTTTTAAGGGCCAGCATAATTTCACACAGCATGTTCCTCCAAGTCCCAAAATCTCTGTCTCTGCACTCTCACAGAGGGAAGTGAGGTTAATTAGAAAATTAAAAAGTAGTAAAGCTTAAAAATCTTTTTCTCTTCATCTGTTGTGTGCTATACCAGTACATACAAGGATTCTGGAATGCTGAGGCAGGGGGATGTCAGGTTTGTGTTAAGTGTAGTCAGCCTGGGGAGAGCCTGTCTATAGATAAAAAATTTAAGTATGTGAGTGTAGCTCAGTGTGAAACTCTGGGTTCAAATCCTACTACTGCTAAAATATGAATATAAAATTTTTACAACTGAGTATAATTTATTTTTTTCTGAAGGCTTCCAGTTTATTTTATTTTAAAGGTAAAAGAAGGAAAGCATATTAACAAACACACAAACATTCACAAAATAACACAAAAGCAATACAAGCAATACAGAATTTCAGACAAGGTGATAGGACATTAACAGTGGTTGTTGTATTGCATATTGATATCTTCAAATTAGTTACTCAGATAAACAAATATAGGCATATAGGATTGATCAAACAAACATTAAGTGTTCCTTTTAATAAAGTAATAGAAATCACTAGCACAACTATCTTAGCTATCCTGTGTATACATATATACATATTTTCCCTTCTTTCTTTCTTTTCTCTTTTCTATCATCCCAGTTCTTTCCTTTTGAGCAGTTTCTTTCCCTTTCACAATATCTATTGCACCTTTTAGATTTTATTCACTGCTTCAGGTTCTAACACTAGTGAGATAACATGGTATTTACACATGAGGATCTGATTTATTTCACTTATGACTATGGTCTGTAGTTGTGTCCATTTTCATAAAAATGCTCATCAACTGAGGAATGGATAAAATGTGGTATTTTTATATAATGGAATATCACTCAGCTATAAAGAAAAATGAATATAATTTAAAATGGAAACTAAAATAAAATCTGTTTGTGTTATACTGGCTATATGAAGACACTCTTGCTGAAGCAAATACCACGGGAGTGTTGGCAATTGTGCAGATGAAAATAATGAAGATCATTTGCTAATATACATCCATGTATTGAGTGCTAATTAGGTGCCAGGCATTGCTCTAAGGAAATTCTGTGTCGTTTCACTTTTACACCACCTTCAAATTTGTACTACAAATATTCTTTTCCAACTTTGTGCCAGACAGACTGAAATCCTAGGGGGTAACTAATTTGTTGCTCAAAACAGCCAAACAAGGGGCTGGGGATATAACTCAGTGGCATAAGCGCCTGCCTGGCAAGCGCAAGGTCATGAGTTCGATCCCCGGTACCGCAAAAAAAAAAAACCACCACCTTTTATAAAAAAAAAAATAGCCAAACATTAACTAAGGAAAATACCATGATTTTGAAATAATATGGGCACAACTTTTGGTATGAACCCAAATTCAAACCACACTAATTGAGAGACACCTGAACTAGAAATTAAACTAATATGGAATTCAATCAAAATGATATGTTGCTAATAAGGATTTTTAAAGAAAGAAAATACATAACTGATCAGCAAAAATGTACTTTATCTGGAAGTGAAAAAAAACTACAGTTCCTCTGGCAGTGGAAATTGCTGCCCAGTGCCACACAAACACGCAGGACCACTTCTGATGGAACAAGGGAGACAACTGCTGCTCTTCCTTCCAAAGGGCTGGCTGCGGACACAGCCGAGGACTCTTCCAGCACACAGAGGATTGTTCATGCCAGTAACTGTCACAGGCAGGTCACAGGGTAAAGGGTTACAGGGATATGAAGCCTTTGAAGAGAATCAGAAGGTGCTGCTAAAGAAGGAGATGAGCCCATTTTCCTTCTCTTTTCCTGATCTAGAAGAGTCTTGAAGCTGTTACTTGCTCTTGGGCGGGCACTTCTGCTGGCAGGGTGGGCGAGGCTGCACAGGAGGACATTTGTGTTGTGGAGGTGGGCACGGCTCAGGGCACTTTGGAGGTGGGCATGGCACTGGGCACTTTGGAGTTATGACCACAGGAGGTGGCTGGGAGGGCTGCTTGCACTGCTGCTGTTGACAGGACATGTTTCTGGAGTCTCACAATCTGAAAGAAGTAAATGACAGTGTTGAGAAGAAGGGACTCCCATAGAAAGCATCTGAAAAATCTTACATCCTATCAGGTCACATTATTGCTCTTTCTTAGAATGTTTTTGAATCTCAACTTCCGTTTTACAACTTTCTTATTTCTCACACTAGAGTAATTTATTTTATCAGGTTTCGGGAAAATTTTTCTTTTTATCTCGTGACATTTTCCCAAAGATAGTATTTCTATGCCAAGAAAACCCAGTACTGCTCTTTGAGTGAAAATAAAATCTTCAAGAAAGGCAGTCACAAGTTTCAAAGTCTTGTGAAGCCCCAGTAGGCTGATTGGGTAGAGACCAAAGGTCCCTTGAGGAAGAACTGATAGCCTCATAATTGTTAAGACATCAATCTTGGAAAGGCACAGTGAAAAGATAAGCAAAAGAAATAAATATTTTGTTCTGTTCTAATTCAAATCAAACATTCCCTGGCATCTTATTTTTCCATGTGGACCTCAAATTATCTACCAACAAACAAAAGCAAGTTAATACACTATATCACTGTATCACAGTCAGAAGTTTCCCTCAAGTAAATAACACCCATCCCACCATCATACTTTGAACCAACCAAACTAGTTGTGTTCAAGTTAAATGCAATACCTGACAAGACGAAGACACAGACAAACACAAGATATCAGACTCACCAGGTTCTACAAGGCACACTGGGATTTGAGTACCAGAAGTGGGGTAGTTGCTCTGAAACTAGTTTGGTCCAGCAATTTCCTAATCAAAATGCAAATCCATTCATAAGTGTCTTGACAGGAACTCTGGAAAATAGAAAATACACTGTTCCAACATCTCCATATAATGTTACATCCTGGTGACTCAGAGGCCCTACCACCTTAGCATGCAGTTTCAGTAACTGATGACTGGTGGAGAATTTGGTGGATTCCTTAAATGTCAGTCAAAGGCTGTCTTGTTGGTTTGGGAAAATCAAGACTTTATATCTTTCCGCTTTCTTGAATCTTAAGACTGTTTGGTCTGTTTGTTTTACTTACAGTCATTTCTATCTTCTCTTTCATAATACAGTTTTTCAGAGATCTGGAAGACGTGTGAGACCTAAAACCAACTTGAGGTCTGGTTACTGTTCTGCTGATAGCAAGCTGTGTATCCCTGCAGCAGGTTACATCTCCTGCCTGGTTTAAGTCTTTATCTTTGAACGAAGGAAAAGAATTCTTGCTTCTCACAGTGGACGCTGACTTTAGTGAGCTGTCTGTTGACCCTATTTGAGGCTGGAATTTTCCTCCACCTCTATCTTTCATGCAGATGATTCCAAATTTGTCCTATATTTTTGCCTTTTCAATGCAATCTCCTCCCCACTCATACAGGCACTTTTCTGCTATTAGGGATTTTGATTTCAGAGTGGGACCAACCTCCTCAATGCTTTTCTTCTTCCTCAAAAATGTGTGATTTAGTTTCCCCCTTTGTAGAAAAAGTACTCAATCACCACTTCAGAGAAGCTAGGAAAGGTAAGCAAAAATCACAACATTCAGTCTAAACTTACTTCTTGAACCACACCCTTGTGGTCCCCTTGATATTCCTCTAGTACAGAACAAGTTGTAAAACCTCAAAGCATTTTATGTAAATTATTAAGAGTAGGTTTGTGAGGATCATAACCTTAAGTGTATAAAATTGGGACAGAGTAAGAACTTAGGGCCATCTTCTATGTTGGCTTACTCTCACACTCTTTTCATAAAGGTTTTAAATCTATGAACTATGAGTGACAGTATTTTTTTTTAAACATTGATTACCTACAGGTTTATTCTCTGCAGTCTCCATAAGCTCCCAGCTGTCTCTATTTTCCTCTCACTCCCCAATATATATGTTTTATTTGTCCGCTTTGTCACATCTTGGTCACTGGGGACATATGTTAGCAGTACATTAAGGAGCTAGATCCTTCACCCTCTTGAAACTGTTCATGCAGTCACTAAAGTTGACTAAATCTTGAGAGTTACACCTTTTAAAGGATGTTGCTGGAGCTTCCTTGTCTTAGTTGAGTAATCAGAAAGCAACCTACGAGTGTGGCTTTATACACGGAGAAGAAGAGAATGAAAAAAGAAATGACAAAGAGGAGGAAGGGGAAAGACTCCAAATCTCTGCACAGTCACCACCCATGCTCCAGAAACTGCAGAAGAAAGTGAATCATTGCAGCCCAGCCTGTGCCCAGTACAGAATAGGGGATTCCTGGAACTGTTGTTGCTCCTTACAGTGAGGAAGGTGTTCTGGTCAAGGTTGCAACTGGGCGTGACCCTGCAAGGACAGAGGCCAGGTGCTTACATAGTGTCATCAGTGTGTGGCTCATGTTGAGTATTACACATGCCAGTGATCAAAGAGCATCTAACGTGCCTTCACTTGATGCATTGCTCACTACTCCTCAGAGCCTCCTGGCTAAAACACAAATTCTTAAATCTTTTATTTCTATCACCCAAAATTTGAGAATTGGTTGGCCAAATGTGATTCCCATCAGGTAACATAATTTTGGTCATAGCCACAGACTCTTTTGGACATAGGACACTCAGGAGAGCTGCTTTTCATAGCAATGCAGGCACTAAAGTTAATGCAGCCTTAGTGACCTTAGAGGTTGAAAGTGACTGAACACTCTGAGCTCCTCACAAGTAAGCTACAAGAAGAGCTGCCGCAGGGTGAAGATGGTGTCTAACAATTGAAATTTCTCCAAGTTCAAACATTCAAAACCTGAGACAGGAACACATGATAATTTACACTTGTGTACATACACACACACACACACAAGCACGCATGCACACACCATGGTTCTTATATATCTGTTATCATTGTACATATTTAATGAACTTGTTTAAATTGAGTAGTTAGGTGAATCTTTAAGACTCAAATAGCCTTTGTTTTAATCCTATTTCTCAATGTTTTATTTCTATTTCTCAATGTTTGTAGGCCTATACTATGTATCATTACTGTACAAAAATGACAAAAAATAACTTTTTGATTTTTCCCAATATTGTCTTATTTTATCTCACTTTTTATTACTATACATTATATAGCATTAAACAAAACAGTCTCTACAAATAAAGATGCTGTAATAATACATATGAAAATAAAAATAAAGCCACAGGAATCATGATAAAATTTTCCTGCCATGTTCAGGTAAATGAAAACAACAAGCCTCATTGGCTTTCTGTCCTCTGCTTTTATTCCTGCAAGTAAGGGTCTTTCATCCTTTCACAAACTTGCTGATCCAGATAAAACACAAGACATATTTGCTCTATAATTCATACAAGGATTAAAGAAAATGTGTTAGAAAATTAATAAAAATGCTTAAATTATAATAAAATACTTTAAAACATGACAACAGTTTAACAAATATTCATGAAAATAGTTAATAACTATAACAGTTTCTTTAAAAGTTGTTATATTTGGCTTATATAATCACAGACATATTTTTATTTTCTATTTTACTTTACAAATAATGCTCCACCTAAGTGTCCATCAATGACAACCAGAAAGAAAACCTGGTACACACAGTGAAATATCATTTGACCATAAAAAGAAGTCCTTCTATGTGTGACCACATGGATAGAGCAAGGTGACAATACCTTAAGTAAACTAAACAAGGTACAGAAAGACCGCATGGCATGATCTCATTTAAAATTGGAATCTAAAACTGTGGATCTCTTAAATGTCAATAGTAGCATAGTGGTTACCATATGCTAGGTAGAGTTGCAGGGAGGACAGAATAAGGAGAGGATGGTCACTGAGTATTATGCTAGAAGTTGAAGAAATATGTTTTAATGTTTCATGGAACTGTAAATAATGATAATATATGGTACATTCCCAAAGGGTGAGGAGAAAGGATTTTGACTGTTTGTAACACAAGGAAATGATAAAGGCTCTATTGTCTGGGTGATAGATATGCTTACCCTGATTTGAACAGTACACAGCCTATACAAGTAGTGTAATGAAATATCACCCAATATCCTCTAAATACATACAATAAAGTAGAATATTATTCAACTATAAAGAATGAAGTCCTGATATATGAGACCATATGGGTAAATCTTGAAAACCTTACATTACATGAAATAAGTGAGATACCAAAAGACAAATACTATACGGTTCCACTCTCCAAGTTAGCTAGGAAAGTCAAGTTCATAGGGCACAAAGTAGAGTGGAGGTTATCAATGGCAGGGAGAGGGAAGGGTTGGAAGTTTTGTTTAATAGGTGCAAAGTTTCAATCAGGTATGATCTAAAAATTTCTAGAAATGGAGAAAGTTAAATGCTGCATGACATTTGAATATACATAATGCCACTGAATACTGAAACATATTGTCTAATGGGAAATTACCTTTTGTGTATTTTACCATGATGCCAACAGATTATTTTAAAGATTGAACAAAGAGGGAAATGGATCAAGAACATTAAGAATTTCCATTAAGAATTTAAAATTTCATGTGTTTACTCAATCTCCCTAGACTAATTATTTGGTCACAAAATTAAACTAAAATTAAATTTGACTATAAAAACCTGGAAACAATGCAAACTTGATTATCTCTGTAGTTACTGAAGACACTGAAAAATGGTGTTTAAAATATGAAATGGAGTGGATGTGGGGAGTTGTGGAGGTGGCAGCCTGACAACCTGAAGTGCGGACTCTGCAGGTAGAGGCAGCTCTGTGACTTGGCCGGGCTGGAGGAGCAGAATTTGGCGTTGTCCTTATCCTCTGCTCTGATCTAGAGTTTGATGCCATGGCTGCATATTTAGAGGAAAATATCACAGATGATGTGTTCCAGTTATCACAGAGGAATTTCATGAACAAGCACTACCAGGAGTTTGAAGACACAGGAGGAAAAACTGATCATATACACATCCATTTTGAATAAATACATTTCTCTAGTGGGCAAGTACACTGAGGAGCAGCTGCTAGAGCAGATACTGGGATTCCGCATGCTTTCACAAGGAAGTTACAGAACAATAAAGATTAAGCGGCTGATGACATCTACAACTTGCTGCTCACACTGACAGACTTTCAGACTTTTAAAGAATGATGCTGGACTACAGAGTAGGAAAGGAAGGCTGGGGACTGGATTTAAGCAGTGGTTTAGTGGTGACATTGCTGTGCAAATCATCTAATATGCCAGTTTCCCAGAACAATCTGCAGTACTAGGTAATGCATGGGATCATGATGGATATCATCAACTCTTTGGGCTCAGACAGCATTCAGCTGATGACCACAGAAGAGTACAGCTTGAAAGACTCACTGCTCTGCAGCCCATCATGTGTGGGTCAGAAACACAACCTGACCCTCCTGACCACATTTCTCCTGAAATACCTTCCTGGATTCAGTAACCCCCGCAATTCGCCCCATGTGGACACCTCGCTCACGTGCTTTTGAGTCAGGCTGTTTTGGAGTCAAAACACTTCCAGAGCTACTTCAGAGAGCGGTAAGAATAATGGGGTCAGTGCACTCAAAGTGAGGGCGACTGCTTTTGAGAGTAGTTAATGACAGTGTGACTTCTGCTATGATTTTTAAAAATAAACATCTATCATGTTTTTCATTCCTTCCTATTATGTATGCTGTGATACTCAACATGTTAGTAATTAGCAAAATATTGATGGAAAGCAAAATGAGATACAATTTTGTACTATTTAATTGGTAAGAATTAATAATTCCTATAGCAAATATTGGAAAGAATGTATGTTAATGAGATCTTCATG